ACATCCCCTTCCTGCTCCCAAAACAAAATGTAGTGGGTTTTTTGAGTTTTAAACCCCTTTGACTTTTTTCGGGCCCCCCTTCTGAAACTGTCTTCTATGTCCCCAAAATTTTCAAAAAAAAAAATTATTTTTTCATAAAATTTTAGGAATATTTTACTAGGTTTTAAGCCAAAAAAAATTTTTTTTGCCACAGTACTTAGAGAAAGAGCCGCAAATTTTTGCAGAAATTGACATGCGTAGGGCAACACGGCAACGCCGCCCACCCGGTATTCTTTTTTTTACTCTAATTAAAAAGGTTTCTTGCATTTTTCAAATTTTCTTTTCCAGGTAACTTAAGTGGCCTTGAACCGTGTAAGGTGCATTGTTTTAAATAACATCATTATTTACAAAAACAAAAACGAACAAACTTTTTCACTATTAGTTTGTGTTAAAACTTTGTTTACACAAACAAACAAACAAAACAATGTTTATTTACTATTGTTCCATAATTAAAAAACATAGTACAGTCACTAAACACGTTCCTAGAATGCGCAGCTTGTGGACTCTTTGGAAAATGGGTATACGAGGGGCACTTCACACTCCTCAACATAAAAAAGTGTCTCTCGTGTTTGTGGGCGTTTTGTGGGATCATACAACTAACACCTCTTCTAGCATTTTTCTTGGGGTGTAGAGCAGTTGTAGGGGTATGCACCAGGGGCCCCAACGAGATACGTCTGTGGGGGCTGGTCTATTGCAGGGGTTGCTCCTTTGTCTTTTCAATTTTTTTCTGATTACTGACAGGCAAAATTCCCAAATTTTTTTTTTTGGGGTTTTGGTTGGTCTTCAACTTGTATATTTTTATAAACTTTAGCATAAGAATCAACAAAAATGAAAAAAAGTTTGATATACCACTATAACTCTTTTCGTACACTTTTGCAAAAACCCAATCTGCATGTCACATTTGCCACTAAGCGCATATTGGGTTGTGTCCTGACAGCTGCAGGGTTTAGAAAAGGGGTTTATTGGGCCTCTGTTGCCCTGCCCCGGGTACCATTTCGTTTGTGTGAACTGATGTCAACAATGTGACATCCGTTTGTCATGCCACCCAAATGCCCTGTGTCATTGGCACAAAAGGGTTGCACCTCACCCTCTGCCAGGCCAGCGTCGAAACCTTGGGAATGTTTTCGATTACCCGCACTGTCCACACACGTCTGTCAGTTCACTCGCAAGAAACCTGAGTAAAGGGGGTTGTTACCATTTTTTTAAAAAAAAATTGCCCCTTCCCAAAATATGGTTTCCCTCTTGTTCGAACCACTCACCAAGATCCCAATAACTTCATGGTATCTCTCAAAGTATTACTGCCATGTACACAATAATATTAAAACAAACCACTTCTGCAAACACCAGACAAATACTTTTACCAAAAACGTTTTCCCCTTGCTTGTAATATTGCTTGAATGAAGTCTTCCCCTTTTAAAAAAACAGGGCCATCAAAAACAAGCTTCTGAAGGGAAAAAATACATGCAGCACTTTTTTTTCAGGTACATAAACACATTTTTTATCTTTTTAACCTGTCCTTCTGTCAGGGGCCCGGTTTTTCTGAAAAGTGTAAAAATACGCAACGATCAGGAAACGATTGACACCCTTTAAATTTACTAAAACCTGAGTTGAAATAGGCGATTTTGTCCAGTATTGGTGACAGTGTGCTTTACACATGGGCATAAGCTTATTGTGGCAAAAAACAGGGACTCTCTGCCCCAGTTGTCTCCTTCCACTTGTGAGCCCGTGATTTTGGGGAGAGAATTGTATTTGCCAGGGGTAAACACAGTATGTATTTTTTTTCCCCCACAAAAGTGTCCATCAGGGGGTTTATCGAAAAAAAATCAAAGCAGTCCCGTTTCCCCTGGCATTGTTCCCCAAATGGACAAGATGGCTTTATTTCCCCTTTGTGTTTCATCAAAGTCATGGGACTGGGAAAACCGCACCGTCCCCAATCCCAAGCGGTCTGCTGGTGGGGGTTTGGGTATTTACCGTGGTTGTGGCTGTGCAGGTTGTGGGGGTGCAGGTTGGGCAGTGAGGGTAGGGTGAGGTGGTTGTTCTCTGAGTCAGGGCCCCTGGCAGTACGTGGCCCGGGGATGGTGCCCCATGGGCCGTGCCACCCTCACTATCCCCCCACTGCTCCTCCCTCACTGTCACCATTCTACCCATCGTTCAATATCGTCACTTTAAATATTTAGGTCGTGGTTGGGCCCGGGAGTCTCCCGAGTTTCCCTTTCCCTTGGGAACAACATATGAAAACACTACCAGACCGCATGACTCATAATACTGGCCTTCCGGGGGAAAATTTTACTCTCACTTCACTAGAACGTTTCAATGACCTTTAAACACTATCCAACTGCTATCATCGGGTTTGACACGACCAAATGTTTCCTCTTTTTTCCTGGACAGGCGAACGGAACAAGCCCACACACCAGAGGTCGAAGGTTTGGGGTCTCTGGGGTTTTTGTCACTATTACGTATCCGGGGGACTTTTTTTGGAACACTCACTTTAAAACCCCTTTAAATTTACGTCACGACACTTTTATCGCTGTTAGGCTATCACTTTGGGGAAAAAAAGCCTCCAAACTGCCCAGGATGAGGGAAATTCTTACCGAGAGCAGGTGAAAATGGGCTGACAACATGGGGTTTCCCCCAATGCAAACCCCCCCAGGTCCCCAGATTTTTTTTCACAGGGGGCCCCGACCACTGAGACCCTTCTCTCCGGGAGGCCCACCCGGCCTTTGGGGGGCTCGATTTTAAGCCCTAGAATTTTGCGTATAAATCGTCAAAACTTGGGTCGTAAGCTATTTTTTACGTCGGAAACAGTCAAAGGGTTAAGCGTAAGTTTATTGGCTGTCATCCAAGTCGATATTTTGATCAGCTCCTCATTAACAATGGTGTTGAGGGCGGCAAGATTGGGGTGAGAGATGACATAAGTCGTGTCGTCAGCAAAGAGAATGGGGGTCAGGTGTTGAGATACGTTTGGAAGATCATTGATGTATATGAGGAAGAGCAGGGGACCAAGGACACTTCCCTGCGGAACTCCAGTATCAAGTGGCTGTGTTGTTGATGCTGTGTCTTTAAACAACTATAGGCCAATATCAAACTTACCATTGCTATCCAAAATTTTTGAGAAACTCGTGCACAGGAGACTATATTCATTTATAACGGCACAAAACATACTCAACCCCTGCCAATTTGGATTCAGGAAAAATAAAAGCACTAACGATGCAATCATAAAAATGCTAGATCTGCTTTACACAGCATTGGAAAATAAGGAATATCCACTAGGAATTTTTATTGACCTAAGAAAAGCTTTTGACACAGTAGACCACGGCATCCTACTCCACAAACTTGACCATTATGGTATAAGAGGCCATGCGCTTGCATATTTCAAATCTTACCTTACTAATAGGTATCAGTATGTCACCATTAAATCTGTAGGGTCACCACCTTTATGTATTGGTGTAACCCTTGCCGTCTTGAGTAGTTTCAGGAAGGTGCTAGTTTCTAGTGACTTGTTAAAAAGTAATGAGATAGCATGCGAGAGGACATGGGCTGCTCTCTTTTACAATAATGGTGGGACATGAGACAGATTCCCTGAGTTATTTTTAAGTGACTTTATAATCTCGGTGACTTCCATGGGCTCAGTTGGAGCAAGATAGATGGAATTTGGGAAATTCCCATCTAGGTAGTCCCCGGCATGGCATTGGTGCGGGGGGATTTTATTGGCGAGATTAGAACCTATGGTTGAGAAGAAGTCGTTTATCTTTTTAGCTGTGTCAGTGGGAGGGCGTGGTGTTTCATTAGGTTTAGTTAGGCAATATTCTTGTTTTTTTTTTTCAGTTTGTGGGTCCCTAGAATCTGAGAGAGTGTGTTTCCAGGTCTTTTTTTATCTCCTCTTGTGTCATGAATCTACTGCAAATAGTATAGTTGTTTGGCTTTCTTTATTACTTTGGTGAGGACTGATGAATAGTGTTTAAGAATATCTTTGTGTATTAAGCCCTGTCTATATTGCTTTTCATATTGGTGTTTCTTATCAATGGATTTCAGAATGGTGCTGGTTAGCCATGGGCAACCAAGCCGTTTGTTTGTGATCTGTTTCGTTTTTATAGGACAATGTTTGTTGTATAGTCTAAGTAATTTGTTAAGAAAAATGTCTGTCCAGTCATCAGTACCATTGGCCTTGGAGAATTCTGTAGGCCAGTCAACAGACTGTGTGCTCTTCTGGCCACCTCAGCTAGTGTGTCGACCATTTCTCTGTTGCTCTCATGGTATTCTTCTCTTGGCCTCCTGCAGTTCTGTGGTGGGTTGTACATTACTGCAATTATCACCTTATGTCCCTCAGACTGGATTGTTCCTACTAAGTAGTCTCTTTCGCCCATGCCATCCATTCCTTCCATTTTCTCAAAACCCCACTGGTTTTTAATGAGCAGTGCAACTCCTCCTCCCCCTCTCCTCCCTCTCTCTTTTCTGAGGGTTTGATATCCGGGTGGAAAGATTGCATCTGTTATCATTCTGGTGAGTTTTGTTTCTGTGAGTGCTATTATGTCTGGGGATGTCTCCTTGATTCTTTCATGCCACTCCTCACACTTATTTGTTATTCCATCTGCATTTGTATACCACACCTTCAACTTCTTTTCTAAGACTGTGGTCTGGGGGGTACATTGGGGTTGGGGAAGTGGGAGACCTGATAAGGAACTATGGGTGGTTGCTGTGGGGGTGGAGTTTGTAATGCAGTGGGTGGGGGCATTGGATATGGCATGGGTGTTTTGGTTTAGAATGTTTGGTTGCACTGGGGTTGACCTGGTTGGGGGGCTTCTATAGGAAGTTGTGAGGGAGGCTGTATTTATTCTTCTTCCTGGGTCTGGGATCTCCTGTCTGTCTCCTCCATCCCCTCTTTCCTCCTTTCGCCTTTGTACTATCTCTCTGTTTCTGCCTTTCTTCTTGTGTTCTGTTGTGGTCGAGATACACCTTCCGGTATGCCGGTATGTCTCTTAGTCTTGCTTTCTCCTGCAGGATCCTGTTCTGAGACGATTCTTCCTTGAAAGTCACTTTCACTGGCCGGGTTCTTCTTCTTGCAAACCCCCCTATTCTCCAAAAATTTTCCAGCTGGGTCATGTCATCTTCTCCTATTGCTTTTATGATGCTTTCAATTACATTTTTTTCCCCTTGGTTTCTTGCTTCATATATTTCCCCTTCAACTTCCTGGAGCCCATACACAAAGACTGACCTCTCCCTTTCATTCCCCCTGCATACCCTTTATTATCCACTCTTAAATTTAATTTCCTCCTTGCAGCTTTCCTTTCTTCATTTCACTATCTATTGTATTTTGGGCTCCTGCCTGTCTTTTTCCCCCTTCTGGGTTTTCCCTGGGTCTGCTGGGGTCTTTAGGGCCTCCCATATACTTAGCTCTTTCTTTGATTTTACGAAAGCTTTTGAAAGTTACCATGACTTACTCCACTAAAATTGTCACACTAGGTATAAAGGGCACCCCTCAACCCCTCAAGCATACCTCACAACAGAAGCCAATAGGTTACGCAAATGGGAAACTCTTCCGCACAACCAATTACATTTTGGTGTCCCCAGGGAAGTGTCCTTGGGCCCTCTCTTTTTTTCCCTATACATAAATGCCCTACCAAATGCTTTGAAATTATAAACCCACATATTTTACAGATGCACTACATACGTCTTCCTCACCCGAGCCCAGTCACGCTAGCCAAAACTGTAAGTACCGAATTACAAAAAAATCTACCTGGTGAGGCTTTAAAGAAATTGCGCAAACATTGCCAAAACCCACTTCATTCATTTTTGGGAACAGAGCTACAGATTCCCTCTTTAAAATAATGATAAACGGTTGCCTATCACAAAGGTACCGAGGGGAAAATTTTTAGGAATCCACCTTATAAAGACCAAATTTCAACACAATACAACAAATTTTTAAGAAAACTTCCAAGACCGTAGGAAAACATTGAAAACGGGCTATGTTCCACAGTCACCCTCCTGGGCCCCATACACTCTCTTATTTACCCTATTCACCTATGAATTTTTGCAGGGGGTCAACAAAAATTAAACCACTCAGACCACTAATTACCCAACAAAAAGGCGCATCAGAATGATAAAAATTCCCACTACAGGCAGCACACCCACCAATATTAAAAACCTAAACCTATCACCATACAAAACATCCATACTTGTTACTGCCCCTTTTACTAAAAGAACATTTAAAACCTGATAAAAACCCTTCCCCTCAAAATCTCCTTCCAAACCTAAACAGAACACATGACCAAAACACGGGACAGATCACTCGTTTTTCCCTTTGCCATCTCAGCTATGCAAAAACTAAATGCACATAAAAGGCCCAAAATCGGAATTCATTCCCTGTAAATAAAAAAAAAACCACCTGTTTAAAAATTAAAGTCTCTTCTCAAAGATCACTTACTCACCCAAAAAACAAATAATACTGATAACGAACCTTAAAAATTTGTAATCTTAAATTTCTCACAATTATACCCACATAAATGTTAAACCTAAGACCCAATCAAACTTTTTATTTTTTAAATACACTACCTAACAGAAACTCCTTTTGACTGAATTACACAATGCATGAAACCATATAACCGTTTTTTTAATACTCATTTGTGCTTTATTGTTATCTTTTTCAAAAATTTTTTTTAAATCACGATTACTCATTGCTTTGTAATCTTAAGTTAATTTTAAGCCACCGTAATGCATGCATAAAGGGCTTTGGCATGCTGCCTTACCTGTAATTTTTTTTGTACCTCTGTATTACCTCAAAAACAAATAATAAATAAAAAATAAATAAATAAAATTTTCTACAGCCCCTCTGAAAGAGCTTCACATGCAGTTTTTTCTCCTTCTTTCCCCACAGCCCCCCGATTTTTTGACTGGGGTAGCTCTCTGTTCATTCCCCAAAAAGTTCTTTAGCCTTTTGGCTGTTTCAAATTTTTCAGTTCCTCTTTTAAAACTGTATCCTACCCTGCGCTATGACTTGCATCTCCCCCTTCTTGTTTCCATTCTACCCCTCTTCCATTCTCATGCAATTTTTCTAGTTTCTTTTCTCATTCATGTTCCCTTTTTGTGAGCTTTTGCTGCCCAACTTCCTTTGCAGATTCTCCTCCTGTCTCTTGGGTTTTTCCCTTCCTGCTCTCTGGGGAACCCATGTTTTTTTTTTTGATTGCCTCAGAATGGAAACTTTCTAATTCTGTTGTGGTTAGTATTGGTATTCCGAGTGGGGGGGGAGGGAAAAGGAGGAACTGGGACCGGGGCTATTTGGGGGAAAGGTGGGGGGGGGGATATGTGGGAATATGGAGTGAGGGGGGAGAGACAAGGGGGAGAATTGGGGAGGGAGAGGGGGGGAAAGAGGGAGAGTGGGGAGGAGGAGGGGGAATGAGAGAGGGGGGGGGTCAGGAAAGGAGTGAGAGGTTGGGGGGGGAGGGGGGGAAAGGTGTGTATGATCAATATAATATATATAAATATAAATATATAAATAATATATATATATATATATATTTACAGGTGTGTTTACTCACCTATTGTACCCCTTTTTGTGGTTGCAGGGGTCGAGTCATAGCCCGGCCCTGCCTCTTCACGACTGCTACTAGGTCCTTTCCTCCCCTCCCATGAGCTTGATCATACCTTGCCTTAAAACTATGTATGGTTCCCACCTCCACTATTTCATTTTCCCCAGGCTATTCCAAGGTGACTTCTCTATGACTGAAGAATACTTCCTAACATCCCTTTGATTCATCTGATCTCAACTTCCAATTGGACCTCCCCGTTTCTGTGTCCTCCTGGGAAAATCCCGTCTTTTTCCACCTTGTCTATTCCATGCAGTATTTTTTATGTCTTTTCATTTTTCCCCCGACCCTCCTGTCTCCCGTGTCGTCAGGCCGATTTTCCCCCCTACCTTTCTTTTTTAGGACAATCCCCTTACTCGGAATTTGTCTTTTTTCATACCTTTGCACTTTCTCTAATTTTTTATTGCTTGACCAGGTTGGGTTTCCAAAATGGGGCGCATACTCTATATGGGCCTACTAAATGGTATACAGACTTAATGATTCCCCTTTCTGAGTATCGGAACGCTACCTACGTTGCCAACGCCCTATGCTGCAGGATTTTCTGATGATTGCGCCCAGGGAATGCTCGGAGTTTTTACTCGCCCCCCGATCTTTTCCTTGATGAGGTTTTCATTTTTGTCCATCTAGACTAATTGTGTCTTTGGGCTTCTTTGCCCTTTCCCCAATCTTCATGACTTTGCATTTGGGAGGTTTTAAACCAAGGGGCCATTGCGGACCACTTGAGCCCGTCCAGGTCTCTTTGTAGTCCGCCCGATTCTATCCGATTTATTTTCTCATTTAAATTCCATCATCTGCAAACAAGGACACCTCTAGTCTATCCCTTCTTTTTGTATTCACATATACCAAAGCAGCACAGGTCTTAGGGGCCGCCCCCCGTAAACCCCCCCCTTTTGTGTGGAATTGAATTGCTGTGAATTGTTGTGGGTTTTTTAAGGTCTGAAATGGTGGAATTGTGCGTTGGAGGTTAGGGGGTCTAGGGTCCCCCTTACCTGACCACAACCTTTTGTGACCTGACCCCCACCTCCTGTGACTTGCCCCGCACCTACTTACAATGCTGCCCTCTATGCTTTTACTACCACTTAGGCTTATAGAAAACTTACCTTGTTCCATAGATTACCAATTGCTATTCCTTATTGAGTACTTTAGTACCTATTCTTTATCGTGCTAGGAGAGTTGGACCATTCACAATCAGCTTGGCGGTTAATTGGAACCCGAAACCCACACCCAAACAACCATACATAGGTGATTACAGTATACAGTGGACCCCCGCATAACGATGGCATCGCATAGCGATTTTTCCGCATAACGATTACTTTTATCGCAAAATTTTTGCCCCGCATACCGATTAAAAACCCGCATACCGATTTTCGTCCGAGACGCGTCCAATGTGCCCTCACATGTGCCGGCCGTCCCATTGTTTACCAGCCAGCCTCCGCGGTAACATCCAAGCATACACTCGGAATATTTCGTATTATTACAGTGTTTTGGGTGGTGTTTCTGGAAAATAAGTGACCATGGGCCCAAAAAGCTTCTAGTGCCAACCCTGTGGTAAAAAGGGTGAGAATTAGTATGGAATTAAGAAAGATTTTAAAGGGGTTTGGGGCTACCCTGAGAAGCCTATTGCCAGTTGTGGAATCCATTGTGCTACTTCAAAGATTAAGGAAATGTGTGCAGAGTGGTTTGAACTGCAAACCTTTATAGATGAAAATCACCCTGAAAACAGCTTTTTGCAAGCCGTGCTGGTGACTATTTCAATGAAAATGTTATGGCCCATTTTAGGAAAGTCTTGAAAAAACGGGAGGTACAGAGCTCTATGGGCAGATTTGTTGTGCGACAGAGGCCAGTGACTCTGAAAACTGGTCCCATGGCATTAAAAGAAGAAGGGAAGTAAAACCCCGAAAAGGACTTGCTACCTCAAGTCCTAATGGAGGGGATTCCCCTTCTAAACAGTAAGAAATAATGCTCTCCCCTCCTCCCATCCCATCTTTACACCAGATCTTCAATAAAAGTAAGTGTCATGTAATTGGGGCATGCCTTTTTCAGTTTGTGTGTATTAAAATTAACATTTCATGTGGTAAAAAAAATTTTTTTTTCATACTTTTGGGCGTCTTGCACGGATTAATTTTATTTCCATTATTTCTTATGGGGAAAATTAATTCGCATAACGATTATTTCGCATAACGATGAGCCCTCTTGCACGGATTAAAATCGTTAACCGGGGGTCCACTGTACTTGCAATGCAGCTGTAGCAGCCTGTAGATTGTCCAGCTCGATGTGATGTCCTGGCGTAGATCCACCTCAATTTCTTCTCGTTATATAATGTACCCTGTTCACTGTATTTCTTTCACTGGTCACTCATTTGTTTCACTTTATTATCTTTCTTGGGT